GTAAGGATCCATGATGTCCTTGTAGTATTCCACTGGCAAGTGAGGTCCCCTGCAGAACCAATCTGTCACTCACCAAGAGAGATGTGGCCAGTACCCATCACGGGGGTAGGTCCTGGGCATCTGACTAGAAAGAACATGCAATTCTTGGAAGGGTCACCTACTTTCCTCTCCTTGCTTCAGGGCTTCAGTGCCCAAGGGTCACATACTTTCCCTATGGTGAGTTGTCTCTTTAATCAACTCTCCACTCATCTGGTGGGTTTCTGAATAACTTGTTTTAATCACACTCCATTTTACTAATAATATGCTTCACTATTGGACAGAGGTTTTAAAGGTTGTGTCCTTAAATAACATTTAACTTTTTTGTCAGGGTGTGTCTTTGAGGTCTCTTTTTCCTGGAATCCCATGTGGGTACTTTTCTTAGGGTGTATGTGTCTGTGTGTATATGTATGCTATTGTGCACCAGGTCTGTATAAGGTACTGTATTATGTAGTGATACAGTGGGAAGACTGAGGCTCAGAAGTCTAATTCACCCTCCTGATGTTACACAGCTATTCAGTAATCATGCAGGTCTTAAAAGCAACACAGTGGCTCTGACTTTTTGCTTTTTATGCAGAACAACCAAATTAAATCTGGGAGCTGGCCATCCCTCCTACTTGGAGCACCAGGATTTTACTTTTCCAGGTCAGTGTCCCAGACTCAAGTCCTGACTTGAGCAGTTTCATGCAGAGGTCCCTGGCAGCCCAGGCTTTAGGACAGAGCCCCCACTGCTCTGTTCCCAGTGCAGGCTGGAGACAGGCCAACCCCTCTTCCTGTTGGGGCAGTGCCGTGAGGGCAGTGGACAGCTATTTTGGAAGATGGTCCTTATTTTCAAAACACTATTCATTTCCCTTGGACTTTTCCTACTCAAAGTGGTGTGTCATTGCAGGATCGCAGAGCCGAGAGGCATCCCGGCCCATTCTGTTCCACGGGTGTTTCGTACACTGACTGTCCATTATATTTTGTGTGTCAATGGTCCTAGAGACAGCATGCTCCCAGACTGCATTCCCTTGGTGTCAAGTGCAGGTAATGAAACTCAGGGTTAATTTTAGCCCAGGAAACTGTACAGAAGATGCTTGCTTATCCAGAATGCTTATCTGTGAGTTACTGCACATACCAAGTGTGGGTTACTGGATATCAAAGTTCAAATACTGAGGCCACCGGGCAACCTTAATAGTACAACTCAAGGACTCCTTTCCTTGGGAAACCTCTCATGATACCCCTGTCCTCCAGGGAAAGTTGTTCATGTTGGTTTTCACTATGCCCATATGTACATCCATCAGAAAGCCACTAACATTTCATTGTACTTCATATTTTCATGTGTCTCCCACTAGACTGTGAACTCAAGGGTAGGAATTTTATCTTATTGATCTATTTTTCTCAGGGCTTGCCATAATGATGGGCAATTAGTAAATATTTACTAAATGAATAAAATCTTCTTAGCCATAGACTTACAGCAGTCCCCCCTTATCCACAGGAGGTACATTCCAGGGCCCCCAGAGGATGCCTGAAACTGCAGAGAGTGCCAAACCCTGTATATGCTATGTTTTTCCTCTACACAACATATCACACCTGTGATAAAACTTAATTTATAAATGAGGTACAGAAAGAGATTAACAACATAATATAATAGAACTATATAACAATGTACTGTAATAAAAGTTATGTGAATGTGGTCTCTCTCTCTCTCTCTCTCTCTCTCTCTCTCTCTCTCTCAAAACACCTTTACTGTACTATATCATCCTTCTTATGATGTGAGATGACAAAATGCATACATGATGAGATGAAGTGAGGTGAGTGACATAGACATTAGGCTAACTACCGACCTGTTGATAATAGGTCAGAAGGAGGACTGGTTGCTTCCAACTGCAGTAGACCATGGGTAGCTGGAACCCTGGAAAGGAAAGCTGTAGACAAGCGGAGGAAGTCTGCCATATGCTCATACTATACACATATGTACATATGTGTATGTGTAATGTGTATATGTATACGGACTGTAACACACATACATATATATGTGTACACATATATATTATATAAGACCTATTTCAGATACCAGTAGCTTCTCATTTTCAGGGGACAAGTTCATTGCTGCTATGGAGAACTATAAATGTAGAACATTAAAGGCTTAACCATGAGCTATGCTGATCCAGGACAATCCATGTATAGTGCTCTTCTAAATATTCTGAATCCAAGATGTGTCTCTTTTCTTTTAAGTCACTTGACCATTGTTTAAGCTTTCTGATTATTTGGATTAAGGGCTAATGATGGTTTACTCCAAGCTAAAACAGTTACTTTGAAAATATAAACTCTTAATTTTAAAACCTTTTGGAATATCTCAACTTCTTCTTTCCCCTTTTAAAACTGTAATTGAGAGTTGACATTCTAGCGTATCCTGTCTTTGCCCTGCTTGTAGAATCTAACCCAGCACCTCAGGAAGAAGAATGGAAGAGGATTTTTTTAAATGTCAAAAAATAAAAATAGAACTTCCTCCTGTGCATCTCACTCTAGCTTCTGTGGCAGACCTCGGATGCCTGCTTTCTAGGATTAGATAAGAAAGTCATTTGCACAGCTGTAAACAACTTAAAAGAAGGGCAAATTTGAAATGCACTGTGTTCCTGATTTGAGTCCAATGTGCCAGTAGGGCAGGCACAGAAGGATGGGGCCTCCAAGTGAACTCACTAGGCGCATCAGACCCTCCACAGCCCAGTCTTTGCCTTCAGAGCTCCCTCTGCGTCCTCATGACATTCCAGGGCCACATCCTCCATGAGCATGTTTCCTCTGGCCCTGGCTGGGCCTGACCCTGCAGTGCCCACCATCTTGACATAAACATGGCCCCATCCCAGAGAGATGGGACTGAAGGAGTGACACTAAGAGCTTGAAACATGAGTTTCAGGAAGAAGCTTGATTAGCCGCTTTTTAAAGAAATAGTTGTTTTAGATTAAGGAAATAAATAGTTCCACTCTAAGAAAAACTCTATCTACACACACACACACACACACACACACACACACACACACACAAATTTTCTTCCTGGAGGAGGAAGCAAATGTGTGTGGGTGAAACAAGGAACTGAAATAATAATCCAGCTTTGATCAAAACTCCTTGTTATAGTGTTCCCTCTGAAAATGATTTCTAATCAATGAGCGCTACCACAGAGCACCAAGGAGTAATTACCTTACATGTGTTTCACTCTGAGCTGTGATTAGAAACAAGATGTGAGATCAGAGGGGCATAAAACGAATATAAGAAGGAAAAAAATCTCAGATAGGAGCTGAAATGCGCAGGCTGTGGGATATTTAATAAGTTGGAGGCTTGTTCCAGGTAGTGATGTCGACATTCATTCATTTACTTCGTTAACATTTCCCTGCTGCACTGACGATAGCAGCAGGGTGTTCAGGTGACTTCTCACATTCTGCCCTTATATGCAACGACAGGGCAAGCAGCTGGCTCCCATTGAAGTGTGAGCATTAGTTCACAGGTGTTCAGGTAGCAGAGAGGGATTTGGGCTCCTAACCCTGCACCTGCACATTTCCCAGTGGTTAGGAGCCAGTTTTCAGCATGGACTGCTTGGTTCATGCTCCAGCCTGAGCAGTAGTGGAACCTGGGCCTTATGAGCCCAAGATGAGAGGCAGGGGCCTGGGAAAGGGACTCATACACTTGGAACAGTTCTACCAGTGAAAGAAAAACTTGAGAGGCTAGGGGCAAGTGTGTGGTGGGATTGTTGAGAAGGTGAAGACCCTTTGGTCTGTTGAGGAGAGAGGAGGTCTTTGGCCCAAAGTGTTTGCTGGGCATTTACTGAACCCATGAGAAAGACTTTCTTTTTATTTTTTTCTTTTTGAATTAGTGTTTTTCTTTTTTTTTTCTTTTATTCAAAACCAAGTTAGTTACCATATAGTGTAATGATGATTTCAGGAGTAGAATTTAGCGATTCATCACTTACATTTAACACCCAGTGCTCGTCCCAACAAGTGCCCTCCTTAATGCCCATCGCCTATTTAGCCCATCCTCCCCCAATACCCTGCCAGCAACCGTCAGTTTGTTCTCTGTATTAAGGAGTCTCTTATGGTTTGTCTCCCTCTCTCTTTTTATATTATTTTGCTGCCCTTCCCATATGTTCATCTGGTTTGTTTCTTAAATTCCACATAAGAGTGAAATCATATATTTGTCTTTCTCTAACTTATTTGGCTTAGCATAATGAACTCTAGTTCGATCCACATTGTTACAAATGGTAAGATTTCATTGTTTTTGATGGCTGAGTAATATTCCAGTGTGTATGTGTGTATACATACCACATCTTCTTTATCCATTTGTCAGTTGATGGACATTGGGCTCTTTCCATACTTTGGCTATTGTTGATAGTGCTGCTATACACATTGGGGTGCATGTGCCCCTTCAAATCAGCACTTCTGTATCCTTTGGATAAATACCTAGCAGTGCTATTGCTGAGTCATAGGGTAGTTCTGTTTTTAATTATTGTCCAGAGTGGCTGCACCAGTTTGCATTCCCACCAGCAATGCAAAAGGGTTCTTCTTTCTCTGTATCCTTGCCAACATCTGTTGTTGCCTGAGTTGTTTATTTTAGGCATTTTGACAGGTGTGAGGCATCTCATTGTGGTTTTGATTTATATTTCCCTGATGATTAGTGATGTTGAGCATCTTTTCATGGATGAAATGATGAAATCCAGCCATCTGGATGTCTTCTTTGGAAAAGTGTCTATTCATGTATTTTGCCCATTCTTCACTGGATTTTTTTTTTTTTTTGAGCGTTGAGTTTGATAAGTTCCTTATAGATTTTGGATGACTCTGTATCTGATACGTCATTTGCAAATATCTCCTCCCATTATGCTGTTTGCTTTTTAGTTTTGCTGATTGTTTCCTTCACTGTGCAGAAGCTTTTTATCCTGATGAGGTTCCAATAGTTTATTTTTACTTTTGTTTCCCTTGCCTCCAGAGACATGTCAAGTAAGAAGTTGCTGTAGCCAAAGTCAAAGAGGTTATTGCTGTTTTTTTCTTGAGGATTTTGATGGTTCCCTGAGGGAGAGTTTCTGAACTCCTAAGACTATATGGTGAACATATAATGAAAATACCTGCACACCAAGAAGCAAAAATGTTCACTCTGATGACCATCCTGCAGTAGGGCAATGCTCAGGCACAGAATGTTACTTTCATTTGTAAGACAGAGGATCCCTCCACAACGTGATCACTATTCAGCCACAGCACAGACCTGCTCCTTCCTTTCCTTGAGAGGTGCCAGTTGTGTGCACTGATTCCTTTTAACCCTTGTCTCCAAAGAACTGAAAGAATATCAGCATTTCTACACACATGATCTTGAATAGCCTCTCAGCATGTTTAGTGTATGATTTCCTTAAAAGCATTCTTACTAGGTGATACTCTTCCCAGAGAAAAGCTTGGAGGTCCAAGGTTTTTTTTTGTTTTGTTTTGTTTTTTTTTTTTGTTTTTTTTTTTTTTTTTTTTCAACGTTTATTTATTTTTGGGACAGAGAGAGACAGAGCATGAACGGGGGAGGGGCAGAGAGAGAGGGAGACACAGAATCGGAAACAGGCTCCAGGCTCTGAGCCATCAGCCCAGAGCCTGACGCGGGGCTCGAACTCACGGACCGCAAGATCGTGACCTGGCTGAAGTCGGAGGCTCAACCGACTGCGCCACTGAGGCGCCCCTGTCCAAGGTTTGATCTACCAGTTTTAAACTCATTATCAGTGGCTCACTTATCTTATGATGTTCCTACGGTTTCAACCTGCATCCCTACTCCCAGTAGGTGATAATATAGTTTTTAAAATTCTTATCCTTTGCCAAAGGATGGAAAGAAGCTAGAATGAGTGACAGGTTTACTGTAGTGTCATTCCCTGAATATGTTTACAAATGGGAAGAGCTACAAATGCAGGATCATCAAGGGCTCACCTTAATGTAACTTAGAAAATGGACCAAATAGACTCCCACCCCATAGTTGACCCAGGTCTCGTGATTCTGAAGAAGTGACATTTAGCACAGTATAGGACCTTACCGAATTTCTTTGCTTTAAAAACTTACCAGTTGACTTGGGTAAGACATTCTTTACACCTTCAGGGATACTTAAACACTTCCTATGTTATTCTGGAAACCTTTCACCCAGCAGTAAATATTATCAACCTCTGAAACAGTGAATGACAGTCAGCCTGCCACTGGTGTAAAATCAGGGACCGGAACAGAGCACCTTTCCCTGATGCAGTCAGAATTAAGACAGCCAGAATGTGCCTTAAGTATCTAAGAAAAACTTGACCAAAGCGCAGGGCCACTGCATCTGTTGTTATTTTAGATTTATTCAATTAGAGTCCCAAGCAAAGTAAATTGAGCTGTGTGGCTGATTTGAATATTACCTTGGAAGAGAGTATAAAGAGATTAACAAACCCTAAGGGACTAAGAAGGAGAGTGCCAGGCTCCTCCTTCTGTCCCCACACTTCGGCCGCCTTTTGCAGATTTGTTTACAAAGGACCAGAATCAAAGCAGGAGAGCAGACGTGCCTTTTGTTCAGTGCCTCACAGTCCTTTCTCTGCTTCACCATCATCAGAAATTTCCTCCGTGTGTGTGTGTGTGTGTGTGTGTGTGTATGTGTGTGTGTGTCTGAGAGACAGAGAGTGTGTGTGTGAACTACAGCAAAATCAAAGCTGGCATGTGTGGAAGCTTTCAAGTTGAGGAAGGAGGCCCATCCTGAGAACGGGGGACATTTGGTCCGGTTGAATTGTGCCTCTGTCTTGGCATTTGTGTTGTCTGGCACAGTCGGCTGCATTAAATTGACCTGGTGCCACAAAAAAATTGGCACATGAGAAATATTAAAATTAACTGCACAGGACTCACATTTCCTTAGGCTGTAGGGTAAGTTAACTATGCGTTTCAACAGAGAGCTTCCTCCGTTCTACCATCTCCAGTGCCATGTGGCGATTGGTTGTCTCCCACTTCATTCAAAGACTGAGGCATTTTTCCACGCGTTTTACTCATGATTTAACAGAGGTACAGGAATAGGATGATGCCAGGGAGGCCATCCTGTTTTCAGGATGCAAGTGGTATTTTTAAATCAGGTCTTTCATGCTTCGGCAGATTGAGATGGCAGTGAGTTTTCGAGTAGAGTAGGAAGCTGGACTGAGGACATAGAGGGAGCAGTAGGGGGAAACACCGAGGACAATGGAGAGGCCTTCTTGGGGATTACTTTTCACTCTTAATCATGACTTTTCAATGTCTTTCTTATTCCCTTGGGTCCTCACTGTTTTCAGGGTATGTCCAATGCTGCTTAACAAATAAAGTCTACAGTATTAGATTAGGAAAGAATATATCTAGGCTGCAGGGGCTCTGCCACTAACCAGCTGTGTGACCTTGGACTTATCTCTGAGAACCCACTTCCCACCTGTGAGATGAGGGAGGGGCTGGGGTCATGCCATTCTCTCTGTCTATTCCAGAGCTCCCCATCCGTGGTCTGCATCTCATGGCCTTGGATTCCCATCTGTGGCTCCTCTTCTCCAAAGCAGAAGAAGAATTGCCTAATGGGGTTTGGATGAGCAATCCATTTATTAAAACTGTTATGGTTCTCCTAGCTCCTTGTAAGTTTTTTTATCAGAGAATAGCTGGGGAGGGGAGATGAAACCCATCACTCCTTTACTTGTTATTAGCACTGATGAGTTTGAGATTTAGGAGGAGAATGAAAACAGTGGCCCAGATGTGTCTTTGGTTTAGTTTTGTTTGCTGTGTTCCTCCCCCACAGTTAGTAAGGGCATGACTGTTCTTTTACCACTTTATTCCATCCCGAGCAGGGAGTTTGACTTTGGGCTGGCCTCCCTTTTCCTGCCTCCTCTTTCCCTTCCTTCCTGGTAGGCACCAATGTCTTATTTATCTTTGTACCCTAAGCATAGTACTTGGCACATAACAGATGATCCAAATGTATTTGTCAGCTGCCTTGGTTCAAAAAGTAGACCAAGAATATGAGAAGGAATACTTGGAATTAACACTGGAAATTAATGTGATCAACCATGTCCTAAAAATAAAATGAAATTAACATTATAAGCTAGGAAAGACAGACCATGCACACATTTGCCAGCCTGGCCTTGAATAAATGTTGGCAAGAGTTATCGAAAAAAGTTTTGGGATGGATCGATCACTTCTTATTTCTGTAGCATCCTGGAAAATTTGTAGCTTGCTCTATCAAACACTCTGCAATCACTGCTTTCTTCATTCAGAAAGTTAGAGAAACTCATCCCTTACACCTTGAGAACAACAGAGCAAAAACCAGGTTCAGAATAAAGCATGACCTCTTGGGTTAGGCTTATTCCTAAGATATCTTATGGCTTTTGTTGCAAATGTAAATGGGATTGATTCCTTGATCTCTCTTTCCGCTGCTTCATTTTTGGTGTATAGAAATGCAACCAATTTCTGTACGTTGATTTTATATCCTGCGACTTTGCTAAATTCACATATCGGTTCTAGCGGTTTTTTGGTAGTCTTTCGGGTTTTCCACATAGAGTATCGTGCTTCGTGTGGAATTTAAGAAATAAAACAGATGCACATAAGGGAAGGGAACCAAAAATAAGATAAAAACAGAGAGGGAGACAAACCATAAGATACTCTTAAATACAGGGAACAAACTAAGGGTTGCTGGGGGAAGGCACTAAATGGGTGATGGGCATTAAGGAGGGCACTTGTTGGGATGAGCACTGAGTGTTATATGTAAGTGATGAATCAGTAAATTCTGCTCCTGAAACTGCTACACTGTATGTTAAGTAACTTGAATTTAAATAAATAAATTAGAAAATAATAAAGCATGGCATCTACTGTAGAAGAGTCACATGGTGAAATGACCAGAACTAAAAGGTAAAATACCAACATGTGCTTTAACATCCACAGAATAATCAATGAGTGGTACCACCACACCTCCAGTTTCTAGATTCTCCCCCATTTTGCAACCCCTGCCATTAGCTTGTAACCTTAGGATTAACAGCAGGAAATCTGGGGCCAGACTGCCTGGGTTCTAATGATAGCTCTGCACTCACTTGCTGTTATTTTAATCTACCTCAGTTTCCTGATCTGTAAAATGGGGGTAATAATAATTCCAACTACATCCGGAGCGTTGTGAGAAATGAATGAATCAATGCATGTAAAGTGCCAGGCACGCTGCCTCCTGGTCTCAGTGACAACTGTTTCTCACTGAAAACAATTACTGTATACCATTGTTTGGTTTATAAGTAGTCTGAGGGACATGGGATAATTTCAGAGAAATTCTCTTTGAAAATCTCATGTATGCCGAACCAGGGTGGATTCATTAAATTAAATGCCAAACCTGACATTTCTTAGCACCCAGCCAGCCTCTTTTGCCAACTCACTAAGTGTGTGTGCCTCATTCAGACTTCAGAAAAGGGACCGGCTTCCTGAGTGGCGCCCCCAGTCCCTGCTGTCTTTTGCTGGCAAGAATACGAGACATCCCCAAATCTCCGGGCCGTCTGTACCCCAGCCTAAGTTTCTAGTCCAATGTCCCATCCAGCTATCCTGGGCCTGTCCTTCTCCCTGCCTGGGTGCTACATGACAGGGCTCTGTGTGCCTGCAGTGGGAGCCATTGCTTGCCTCCCTCTCCCTGTGCCTGGGGACCCACTCACACTAAGTTGGAGGGGGGGGAGAGAGGGAAGAAACAAGGGTTTTTTGGAACCACGATCTCTGGTGAATGTCCTTCCTCGGATCCTATATAATGAGCTCCGGAACTCCTTTGCTTCCTTTGTGATTTCTTTTGTCATCTTTGCCTTCTCCTTCTTTTCTTTTTTTTTTTTTTTTTAACTGTTTGTCTGCCTTTACCCTTCAAAGAATTCAAATCCTAAAACTAGTTGTTTTTTTTTAAACCAACTCTCTTTATTTCAGGAATATCATTCGAGTCCACTAGCCTTCTTTATTTTCTTTATAGCTTTTTTTAATGCTGTAAAAATATTATTAATATGTTTAATGTCTGCCAACAAAAACAGCCCCCCCCCCCCCCGTAGGGACAAGAATCTTTTCTGTATTGCTTATGCTATATCCTCAGGTTCCAGACAATCCCTGGCACTTAATAGGTGCTCAGTTAGTTATTGAGTGCATTAATGTTACATAAAACAACATGGTCATCTATGTGTATATTGTCTGTGGGCTAATAGCCAAGGATTGGACTTAGGAGCTCCTCATTACTGTTTTGACACTCTTATTACAAAATGTCTTAAAAAATCACTGAAGCACACCATGCCCCAGTTTGTCAGAGGGTTAATTTCTATAATTACAGTGGTCGGTAAATCTTCCTTAATGAGTCTTGTAGAATTATGGCTGATGTGAAAAGGTATATAGTTAGCATGTGTTTGTGCTGCGCATATATCTCTCATCCATGCTGTATGTATATTTTAAGGAACATTTCTTTGATGATGCGTTTTTTTCTATTTATGTCTTCACCATAAAAATATAAATAGATCGTTTATCTCCGGTATCCTTCACGTAGCTTGCATCATTTCACTTTTTTAAACTTTTACATAACCGAAGTTCTATCCCCAGAATACATTGTTTGGAAGATCTGAGTGGCTGGGAGCAACCCTGGAGACACTGGGGCCAGCTTCTAGTGACCCCCAAGGCTTATTGCAGGGCCAGGAGCTGTGGGCACTGGCTGCTGGGTAATCCCGTTCCCAGTGACATCATGCGGGACACCTGCTGTGTTCGCCCTGCCTGGCACCAGACCACAAGCCATTTAAAGGTAGAGCTGATTTTTGTTCATTTTTGTATCCTCCACAAAGTATAATCCAACTCTTTGAACATAGTAGATATTTTAGTCTCCAGTGAATTTGTAACATAAACATTTTGTCTTTTCAATTGAGATGTAACTGACATGTAACATTATGTCAGTTTCAAGGGTACAACATAATGATTTGACATTTGTATATGTTGTGAAATGATCACCACAATTAAGTCGAGCTAGCATTTGT